AAAAGCATACAGATATTGAATCAGACGAAAACAAGTGACATGAGGCGGCCACCCTTAACAGTGAGTACCTTAGTCAATTGAAGCCGACGCGAAAAGGAATGTGGCATTGGTATGAGATCTATGGGCATTAGGATCATCAGAGACCGGACTGGTATGAAAGGTTTAAGAATGAGAGGCACAGTAGCGAAGGGAATCTATCAAGGATTGGGGCTAGCGTTACCAAGACCACTATTAAAGAGATCCGATTTGGATCGAAAAAAGCCAAATGAGAGAGGGAGACATTATTGTGAGCTATAAAGCTTGCTGGTGGAGCCGAGAAGCAAAACTCAATCAGAGGCCGGAATTGACATTTTCAGTCGGAGGGATTAAGCATAAAGATAATTAAACAGACGGAAACAATTATCTTGAGGCTGTCGCTTTTATTAATGAGCACAATGGTCAATGACAGCCGATGCTCAGAAACAGAGGCATTGGCTTTAGACTTATGTGAATGAGGAGCTTCAGAGATTGGACTGGTCCAAAAGGTTTAAGAATGAGAGGCACAGTAACGAAGGGAATCTAGCGAAGATTGGGATTTTGCGCTGGGGCTAACGGTACCTAGATCACTATTGAAGAGTTCCGATATGGATCGAAAAAGAAGCCAAATGTGCGAGGGGATGTAGTGGTCAAAAATATTAGGATGGTTTCAACCCCCCAAGTAAAAAGCAAAAAGTTGGAGAGGGACAACTCATAGTCTAATCACAGTTGAGTTCGAGTCGTAGATTGCGCCATACCTGTGGCGCACGTCGAGCCCAATGGAAATAGACGTTCGATAGTAATTCCGAGTATGCTATCCGATTCGCAAGGAGAGTGGACGGCGCCATACGCACGCAGGAGCAGCACAGCCAAAAATCACCACGAATTAACGAGGGGCATGAGGAAGTGTGTTGTAATTATTAGTTCAAACAAACTGTTCAAAAGATGTCGCGAGAAAATTGATAAAAGGAAGGACAAAGTGGAAAAGAGTAATAACCAATACAGGGACGTTAAGGTGGACTCTAAAGCTTGATAGTGGAGCCGAGAGGCAACACTTAATCAGAGGCCGGAAATTTCAGTTTCGGCTAAGCATACAGCCAATGAATCAGACGGAAACATGTCTGAGGCTTTTGCTTTAACCAATGAGCAGCTCGGTCAATAACAGCCGATGCGCAAAAGATAAGAGGCATTGGCTTGAGACCTATGAGCATCTGGAACCTCGGAGACCAGACTTGTCCAAAAGGTTTATGAGAGGCGCAGTAGGAGAGAGGATCTAGCGAGGCCTTGGAGTTTGCGCTGACACTAGTGGTACCTTTACCACCATTGAACAGTTGTGATATAGACCCACATTGATGACAAACCAGAGGGAGAGGCGTTGTTGTGAGCCAAGAAGTCTGATAGTGGAGCCAAGAGGCAAAACTTAATCAGTGCCCGAAAATTTCAATTTCGGTAGGCGGGACCAAGCATACAAATAATGAATCAGACGGAGCCGAGTATCGTGAGGCCGTTACTTATACTGACCCTTAAATGAAAATCCACACCTAATGGAACGCTGGTTATAAACTGGCAACTCCCGGAAACTGAGAGTTAATTGGTAACAAAGAGAGCGCATCGCAGGTAACTTGTTTGGTCTTCGCCTCCAAGTTGCACACGCTGTTGCTATGGAAAGCCCACCTCTCCACCGCTTCCAACGAAACACCGGTTAGCAGTCGGGCCAGCAAAAGCGTTCCTCGTGGCAGGTCGAAGTCGGTTACAGGTGAATCCAGACAGGCCACGGAACGAAGCAAGGCTATCGATCTGGTCGGAGTGCTACTTGGTACAGCACTGGTGGTGTGTGGTAGGTGGGTTGGTTCTAATTGGCAGGCTCAGCGACTGCGACACAATCAAAAGCTTAGCGGTGGATTACTTATATTAATGCCTGTACCTGCCCCACAGAAAACGGAGCCCGAACGATTAATGGGATAAAGTATACGAAGTGTACTAATCCATCGGGTTCGAATACTGCTGGGAATTCTTCAGTCTACATTAAGTCGCGTAGTAATACTGCTTCTTCTTACTGAATGCGTGTATTGTGCTGGTTAAAACGTTGTAAACATCACGCAGCTCCAACCTTCCAGGTAACCTGCTAAGCACAAAAGGGTTTAAGGTACGGACACATTTAAAACCCCACATCGGACCATTCAGATCCTCCTCATTAAGCGGTGCGAACTGACGATGACCAACGTACAGCCAAGACTTAGCCGCCTGGAGAGACTGAATGCGTACCATACAGCTACGCACGAACTCATAAGCACTGCTGACGATACCAAGCTACACGAACTTTTAGAATTTAAAACTGCAGTAAGGAGAATTAAGGTACCATACAAAATTTTAAAATGTTAGTATCCCTTGTAACTGCACTTTTGTCACTTGCGGTGAACAGGCGGCAAGTTTACATCGTAATGAGAAACGCGCTCTCAGCGCGCTTTCCATTGTACCGTTAGGTGCAAAATTTGACAGTCCTTAAAACAGTGAAAAAGTTTTTATTCCGTTATGTTTCGAGGCACGCCAAACAATGATCAAATTTAGGAAAGCGGTGGCGTTTCGCTAGGTTCAGAATAACTTGTACGCAGGAACGTTAAAATGTAACGTCATTTTGTGAGAAACAGCGTAGGTTGCGTTGTGGTGATAAGGAAACCCAGAGAGGATAAACGAGGGTACCTAAACACGTACTAGCGTATGCGTGTGCATTAGTGGTATGTGAAGTATGGAGACTAGCCAAGGCATTGCAGTGGTGTTTGTATTTGGAGGCGTCACACCCGCCACGCCGCACGATGATAAGCAGACCTGCGCGGCAGCGTATAGGGAGAAAGCCAGTAGACAAATACCCACCACGTCTTGGAATGTTACAATGCCTCGTAATTGGAGCCAAAGGCCACTGACAAAGCTAAATTTGGACCGATTTAACACGCGGCTATTCGCAGTCACGCTGCACCTAAGATGTTTCCTCGATTATAAGTGGCTTATGCAGCATCCACGGTAAATGCTTGAGCTCCTCGATACGGTGGAAGTTATATATTCATGGGACTGGAGCGGGAGCATTGTGCGGGTTGGGAAGGATATGGAGGTATTGGTGTGTTAGATATGTTCGCTTGTTCAAATCCAGGTGGTTGACCCCGGGCCAGGTGGGTTGCAGACAGGTCCTACGTAGAGAATCATCGCTGTTAATTGTTGTCCTTTATATGCTTAGGAAGAGAAATGGTATGTAGATGTAGAAAACACAGCAACACTTCCGTTGAAAAACGCCATAGTCATTCCTACGCATCCAAGGTTCAAATACTGCAATCTTAGACGTTCGCAGTGAAGTCACTACATGCCCTAGCCAGTGCCTAAATGCCACAGGCCCGACTGCTCAGCACAGGCTATTTTATATGTACTATTCAACCAGTCGTGGGTTCCGAGTACTTCCGTGCCCAGGACGTATTTTGGTCGTAAACGACCGCAGGGCAGGAATGTAAATAATATACTTCGTAGGCGGCTAGGCAACTACATAATAAGCGTCGAAGTTGGGTTCACGGTGTTCTTGTGTCGCACCTCGTGGCTAGCTGGTCGATGGTGCCACGGCTGTTTATAGGAAAGAGCGCTAGCCGATTGGATGGCCGTTGTGCGATAGCACGCCTGGCGGCTACTCCAACAACACCGAAGACAAAATAGGAAAGCAACGAGAAACGGAAACGACAATCACAATATGGTTTACGCTTGAGGCCCTGCTACCTGTTAACTTGCTACGGTGACACTGACCCGCCACCATAGCCCCCGCTGATGAGACACTGTCCCCAGTGCCTACAGGGGATTTGATGTGTATCAAACTGCTTACGCACAGAAAAACTGATGAACGCTTAGGTTAGGATAAATCCGCGTAAGGGGATGCTAGTGACGGGCGCAACAGCTGCAGTCCTGATTCAGGGACTGAAGGTATGAGCTGCCAGCGTCGCCAAAAAGGTAGTGTGCGTCCGGTTGTGGGTGCCGAGGGCTTCCGCGCACGTTGTTAGTAATGGACCGATTCGGCTAAAAGGTAAGAGTGATACACTGTAGGCGACTGGACAATCTCCTAGTAAGAGTCGGAGAAGGATGGGAGCTGTGCTTGTGTTATGCCTTTGGCTAGTTGGACGGCATCGACAGAGCCGCTAATGGTGGATCGGGCATGCATACATGCAAGGAACATGTCTGCTCTAACGATGAAGATGAAATGGTAAGGCAGAGAAGAGGAAACGACGATCACGATATGGGCTACTTTCGAAGACACCTTATCCGTTGACTTGCAACTGTGCCACGGACACACTACAGTATATATCCGTAACGACCTAAAAAAACCTTTGACTTAAACTCAAGATGTTACCCTTGTTTATTACATACGGCTTTATAATAAACCTTTGCATTCCCGCAAATGGTTGTGGTCACAAAGTCTACGCTAATACAAGTCGTTAGGAAAAACAGATTTGTTTAGGGACACTCAATAAGGACTGGTGGAACGCCGCCCAAATAACCCCAAAAAGGCAAATAGGCTGTTGCCGCGCGCCTGCACAATTGTTCATATTTGCTGATAGCTAGGTCGCTTATAGCAATGATGTGTACAATTTTCGTTGCGCAACTCTGCTTATGAGGAAAAGTCTAATTCGCAGAAGACATCGCGCGAAAAATCGGTTGCAGTATTTTTAGATTTACCGGTAATTTCCTCACGTATCACTCACTTCTGTGTTTACTGATGGCACAGTTTGACCTAGGATCCTGTGATAGTTCATTTGTTATAATTTTTGTGACTGGATTACTGCTTACATGAATGAGGGACTTATCGTGTAACCACCTAATTAAAACCCAAAAGGTGCCTTAACTGTGGATTGATAGGTTTTATCACCCACGCAAAGCACTTCGGATTCTGGGTTTTGAAGTAAAAATGAAAAAGAATGTAACCCAATGCTGACTGCAATTCATACCCAGCTTTCGACCTTGCCCTTATTCCTGGCTTTTTACATCCGCGAATTTGACTCCCTAGCGTCAGCTAACCAAACCGATTGCCAACTTAAGTGACCACTATAGTTCATGTAAATAGTCACAGGTCATTTGATTCAATGATATTCAGCATTTAGCTTCCGGCCTGAATAACTTTTGTGATATATTATTTTTTCACTTTCTACCTATATTTATCACCTTACGTTCTCTCTATTTTCACCGAATAGCAAAACGTTGCACGCGGGTTCATTTTAAAACAAAAATACCTGCTCAGTGGTTATTTCTCACATCTTGTGAGAAACATGCCTCTAATTTGTTAATCTTACATCAGATAGATGGACGGTACTTTGCCAATTGCACTGGACACAGCTGTCACACAGTTTAAAAATTATGAAGAATTTCTTGACTCTCAGATAACGCCAACGGATTTATTTTACCTTGAGGTGCGTCTTTTCATATGCCCTTTAATTCTATGCATCTGTAGGATGAAGAATTAGCGCGACAACTCGTCGAGCTCGGGTACAGAGGTGGTGGAGAAATAATCAAAAGGGAGGAATTCGATGCCCGCAAGACAGCGCTTGCAGAGGCAGTACTGGCTAAAGAGCAATCTAATAGGTAACGGTTGTTGTTCCACAAGTAGTCAATCGTATTTCTTCACAACATTAAACTTCAGTTTTTCTTTCAATACAACAGCAGTTAAGGCCTGGACCCATAAAACTAATACATTTGTATATGCAGAAACACATGAACCAACATTATTGTGATTAAGTTTTCCTTGTGTAAGAACTATTAGCTTATCTATTTAAGGACATCTCAAGATTAACGACAAATGAGCTGTTTGTGATGTGTCATTGGATGCCATTACATTCGAGATATCCTGTTTCTATCTTAAATCATCAACTTTCCTTCCAATTGTACAGTGGACAATTTTTCTGCACTATTGTTTGCATTACTTTTCTAACGTTTGTAAACTGTTTGCTTAAATATTTACTACCGGTCACTGTTTCAACAACACTGGAGCTTAATAGGGTTCCTTCTTTCTACCGAGCTAAGCTTAGCGGTATTCCTGTGTCAACACCAAGTAAGCGTAGTAGGTGGAACAAAGTTTAGCTGCTGCTGATGCCTCCCCTTTTCAGCCTGATTCACTCACACTTCTGGGATCACGGTTTATTAATATTATCTTAAGCCCCAGGTTTTTGTTGACGGCTGTTTTAATGCCATGCCATTAGTAGCCTGCATCCATCAAGGTCACTTGCCAGGTCAAACCATACGGTTTCACTGGCTATATACGAAATCGTTACGCTGATAGGTATTTTAAAAAACGCGTTCACACGTATACAAGACAGCCTTGATGATGATGTACAATAATTCTTATAACACGAACTGGTAGCTCTCACAATGGAATCTAGCTAACTGCGCCTACTCGACGACTTTGTCATCAGAAGTTGATCATCGTCCCGTTGTTATTCGGTTTTTGCGAGGGAATATGACAGTAATGTGTGTAACAGCATTGCGCTATGTTTCTTTGTGGTTGCTGATTGTGTCACACTGCGAAGAATCATAGAGCTGCTCAAAGATAGGCGAGAAATCTGCTTGCCAACACGCGCGTGTTCGCCACAAAGCCTGCTTCAGACAGACCACGCAAGCGTGTTGCCATGGTCCAGCCGAAAGCTGATGAAGCCGCACATCAGACACCATGTACGTTACCATACCCTGGGCCAGAGAATGAAGACTGGCGTACCCGAGCAGGAAGATGAACTGACGATGATGAAGATGAACTAGACGGAGCAAACAGTCAAGTGTGAAGCGTGGGCGTACGAGGAAGATAGATAGCCAACTCGGTCACACGGTCTTAAGAGGATTGGTGAGACCGACCTATAAATATTCGCGTTCTTGGTTCTAATAGAAGTCTGGTCGGTTGAGTCTTCTTTTTCTGTTTCACTTCTTGTGGTGATGGTCAAGTCGTCAAGCTGAGCAGGCGTAAGGGCGCAGGTTTACCGGCAAGCGTGAAGAAACCGATCGATTGCGGGTACAACGTTATGACAGTGGCGACACGAGTTCAACCGAACTCAGAAAGGACAATCAGCTTTGAACAATTGCAGATGCTTTTGCAACAATAACAGGCGCAGTATGAAGCATCCCAGGCCAACCTGCTCGATGCTAACTCAGAAGCTGACAGTGCAGTCAAGCCCAGGGTTAAGGACAACAGATCCGTGAGTTCCATTATGATGCTGATGCCGGCATAACATTTGTTTCTTGGTTCCACAAGTATGAAGACATGTTCCAGGTTGATTTTGCCAACCTTCCAGTGGAGAAGAAGATTTGGCTACTGGTACGAAAGCTAGGTGCTGCCGAATACGAGGTTTGCTATTTTTATATTAGCTACAAATAGTACCGATTTGTCCCTCGATGAAGTTGTCGCAGTCCTGTCGCAAATATTCGAAGAGTAGAAAATTTTGTTCAACATCCGGTACGTGTCTGGCAATGCCAAAAAGGAAGAGGAAGTCTGGGTCGACTATGCCAGCTGTGCTAATCGCGAGTGCGAGCGATCACAACTACACCAGATGACAAGTGGTCAGTATAAATCCCATATACGTTTGTGACCTACGTGCATCTAACGACAACAACATTCGAACAAGATTACTGAACACAAGTGAACAGAATCCGCCCATCACATTGCAGCAGGTGACAGGTGCGTGCCAACGTATGATGAATTGAAAGCACGATACCGCAGTGATTCAACAGTTACCGAATCCGAACGATCAAAATTTTGCCTGTGCAGTCAACCGTACTCCCCAAAAAGAAGCTTCCCACGTGAGTTCGCTGCATTCTAAATCTCCCTCTGCATGTTGGTTTTGTAGAGAGCGGCATTTTGCCCGCGTGTGTCTATTCAATGCTCACAGTTGTAACCGTTGCGGCAGAAATGGGCATAAGGAGTCATGTTGACTGACGAGTCGTCCAATTCAGACCAAGAAGATGGGTAACAAGGCCATGTCGTTTCGGCGTACTAATTTCACTAGGTCTATCACCGCAGCTTTTAAGATTGACAGGTCCAGAAAGCGCAACTACATAATTGTGCAAATCAATGGCTTCAGAATCAAGTTACAAATCGGCACAGTTTCGGATATCATCCTGATATCTCGCGATACTTGGTGCATGCTGCGGCGATCGACACATACAAACGGGCCACACGCCACAGAATGCTTCAGAAGTTACGTTAAATTTTCTTCGTGAACTGAATTATGAGGTTAACTTCCGCGATAAACAAATCCAGACGACATGTTTCGCGACAGATCAGCTGGGGTTAGATTACTTGGGGCTCGACTGGATGGATGAACTGAAACTACTTGATCAATCAGTGAACAGTATATGTCAGCTACCGCAAGACAATCTGCTGTCGCAACCTTCGACATCAAGCCCATGTTTCAAAATAGAATTACCGAAATAAAACGACGTCACGGTGCATTGTTTCAAGCTGGTCTCGGATGCTACCATACAGCTACTGTCGCGTTGAACCTTAAACCAGACGCCAAGCCAGTCTTCAGACCAAGACGCCCGGTGCCGTACGCAACCCCGTCCTTAGTGGAAGCCGAGTTAAACTGACTACAATCTGAAGGGATAATCAAACAAGTTTACTATTCATAATGCGCAGCACATATCGTGGTGGTAAAGAAAAGAAACGGTAAAGTCCGTATTTGTGCTGACTTTTCGACAGGTTTGAATTCTGTGTTGGAAGATCATCAGTATCCCCCGTCGGTGCCAGAAGACTTCTTCAGCAAACTCAATGGGGGAAATGTTTCGCAAAACTTGACCTAGCTGATGCGTATCTGCAAATCCTAGTCACACATCAGTACAGAATATTACTGACAGTAAATTCCCACCTCAGATTATTTCAGTACAACTGGCTGCCGTTCGGAGTGAAAACCGCACCGGCTATTTTTCAACAACTAATGAGTACCCTGCTGAGCGATATCTCAAATACCGCAGTATACCTGGACGATGCGTTGGTTATGGGCTCAGATCCGCAAGACTTGTTATAGGGACTGAAGAGAGTGCTTTCGCGTCTCGAAGAAGCTGGATCCCGATTACGGGCTGAAAAATGTGAGTCCCTACTAGAAAGTGTCAAATTTCTTGGGTTTGTCATCGGCAAACTTGATCCGCGCCAGGATCCCGCCATTATTGGAGCCATCAAAACGATTAAGCTCCTAGAAGACATTTCAGAGTTCCGCTCGTTCCTTGGGTTTGTTAGCCATTATAGCACTTTCCCACCATCCCTTCATTAAACAAGAGGTCCGCTGAACCAGCTACTGACAAGACAATGGTTGGAGATGGACGAAGGAGTGCCATCAGTCTTTTGATGCAGTCCAAGCAGCCCTCACTTCTGATCTACTCTGGACTCACTTCAATCCGAATTTCAAAATTGTCGTTGTCACAGATGCTTCCCCATCGCAATGAAGCTGGACTTACCGTGGTGTGATGGTTTACATACCTCATAGATCCATTGAGCTATGCTGGGTGGTGCCTTTTGCACATTCAGAGCCACTCATACCAGATTGGTCAATGGTTAGAGGCCAGACAAACTCTGCCTCCTTGTCCTCCAGGTTGGGGGTTGGAATGAGGGTGGCTCCTTATTTCATAAAACGGACTCTCTGTAGTCCAACGCCAAAACTCGCTGCCGTGAGGTCAGGTTTTTGAACCAAAGGCTTCGGTTGAGAACCCTAATTGTTCTCCTGTCTAGGCCTGGGCAACGTGACAGTATTCTGCCCACGCAATACAGTGAACCCTTCACCAAACAATTTCTTGATGCTCTGGCCGTCGCAGAGGATAATAAACGGTGCACTATCTGCTGCATCGAGCAGGGTGGATAGAGGTATGGATGCTACTGCTCAGACCTTCTCGTCTTCTTATACCCCTTCTTGCTCTTTTTCATCCCTATCGTCCCGCTCTAATTTTACTTTTATCCCCCACATTTTCAACCCCCAATTCTTGGCCCTTCCCCAGCTCGCTTCAGTAGTCGCTTGTCTTCTAGTTTCAAATCACGCACAGTCGCAGGGCGTCGCTCCAATCCAGTCGACAAGTCCATGTTCAACCAAGCGGACAACGTCAGTTCATCCGTTTCCCTTTGGAGTCCTCGCGTCTCGCTAAGACTGTCATGCCTCAATGTACGCACGTTGCTACAGATTGGCCAACAGGCAGCACTTGCCCCCACACTAGAGACCCTATCGATTGATATTTTCTCTTTAGCAGAAACCTGCCTGCAAGATTCGAGCTCCATGGTTATCCTGCGATCCCCCACATGCGACACTGGCGGCACATTCTCACTGCGCCTGTCTGGCGATGATGCAGCTTCAAATCCCGGTCAAGCTGGCGTCGGCATTGTTTTGAATCCCCGGGCTGAAGCTGCCCTGATTGATTGGATCCCAGTAAACAGTAGGGTGTGCGCCGTTAGATTAGCTGGTTCGTTCCATGCTACGAAGTCGCGCGGGGACAAACGGTGCCTGTTTGTCATTGCGGCCTACACTCCTACAAACTGTAGCACTGATTCGGTAAAAGATACTTTCTATCAGCAACTTCACGAGTTCCTTCGTTACAGAAGAAGCACGGATACTGTGGTG